AAGAGAGAGAGAGAGAGAGAGAGAGAGAGAGAGAGAGAGAGAGAGAGAGAGAACAATGAAGCCATTAAATGCAGGGGAAACGCAAAATGATAAGGTATTGTGCAGGGTCGAATTTCCTTTTTAACAAAGTAAGGTTGTGTAAGCGATTTAACTACACGCTTTCGACAGCACAGGGTTGAAGAACAACAAATTCTCTAATCTAAGCGCTTGTTTGGGATTCAAATCGGTTTCGCTGACGTCACAATGATAGCTACTGACCTAAAGGAGAGCTTAACAAAACACGGCAACATACAACAACAGCACAGGGAAAGTGAAGAAGTTTTGTTTTAGTAAGAGTTTTACGGCACTTGCAACACAATAAGCTCATATAAGTGCTGAAGATTAGAGGTGTTACAATAAAGCAACAAACACAAAATAGCAGGAGAGATAAGGACGTTAGACGTTCGATAGGAAAGAAGGTGCAAACCTCACCAGAGCACCCGTCAACCACTCGCAAGTGAAGAAGTACACCTTTCCAGCGGCACCATAAAACATCTAGCAATGAAGGGGGGCACACGCGGAAATAATATGATGAAGGGTATCAAAACCCCATTGCAAATACACACAGTCAAGTTTGAAATCGTACGTTATACATGGAGAAAATGGCACAATGCAGATCACATAAATCATCAAATGTAAGACAACGGCTAGATGACACAGCGGAAAGAAAGATTTAAAAAATAGGGCATACCAGAGACTGCATACATATCTATATCGAGGGACACTTGACACGAAGGGAATGCGGTATGATAATGTAGATACAAACAGGATGTGCATGTAAAATTTGTTACAGAATAAATACACAACTTTGTGCTCGCGCAAAAGGCAAAGTCTTTTTCGTTTCAGTAAGAGTTCTACGATATATAAGTGCCGAAGATTAGAGGTGTAATAAGAGAGAAGCAAACATAAAAAACAAGGAGAAATAAGGACGGTACATTATGTTTGATAGTAAAGAAAGAGCAAACCACACCAGAGCACTCATCAGCCACCCACGAAAAAACTTGAACGTCATGAGAACCTTAATGCACTAATATACATAATAGTATATGTATTAATAGATCACAATACTTATAATATTTCTGCAATGTTAACTGATAACGACTAAGAACTCGCAATAATACTGCAAGTTTTAAGGTGGCCGTTCGGACGCGAAAGCCATCGTTGTTTTTTGGGGGGTGATAGAGTAGTATTTTGCTCATATCGACGAATAAGCAGTTTCAGGATTAGTGTGTATACGTCAATAAAGACGAATAGACGCTTTCAGTAGAGATTGCCTAAAGAACGACGAAAAAGTGTGTACGCAGATATCTAATAGTAATAGACGGCAAACGCAAGGCAAAGTTCAAAGTGATAATGCAATTATGGAAGTAATGATTCGCGTACTTCAACACTTAGAAATACATAACACACCTAATGCAACACACTTATGCCTATGGTAATAAAATGTGGCCAAGTATGGGAAACAAATGAGTTCGTAAAGTAGGAGCAAGTGTTTTACGGTACTTGCAACACAGTTAGGTCACATAAGTGCCGAAGGTTAGAGGTGTTACAAGAGAGTTACAAACACAAAAAAGGAGAGATAAGGACGATAAAGATGAAATGTTTGAAAGCAAAAAAGAGCAAACCACACCAGATCACCAACCAACCACCCACCCAAATGAATTTACTACGCACACTTGACAGATATCAAGATTTTATTGAGTGACTATAAATGAAGCAGTGTGCAATCGCACGGCCAATGCTACACTTAAAGAAAACAAATGGGATGTTATGGAGTCGTGTGGACATTTAACTAATGAACCAGATACTCCAGCCCAAAATATACACCCGCCTAAACGAAGACTGCAGGATGTATGACAGAAAGTACTTGCAAAAGGGTACCCCCCAAAAAACAAAAAAACAAAAAAAGCACAAACAAACAAACAAAAAAACCCTAAAACCCAACGTAGACATTCTGAGGTGTGAGAAGCCAATATGAAATATGTTCGCACCTTAAAGCGATGAAACAGGCACGGCCTTGCAACATTTTTTTGGTTTTTTTTTGGCAACGTAAAATACTTATCCTTCCGTATTGTGCCCACTGAGACGAGCAGACTTTTCTTCTCAGGGTTCTGCTCTGTAGTTTGTCAAAGGGAAAGAATCTACACCGGAAGATTCGAAGCCTGATACACCACGAGATTGCGCTGTGCCAACTTGGAGAGTCGTATTGTCAATGAGTCAGAGGGGAACGATGGTGCAGAATCCAGAAATGTTTGTTTATGTATTCGACTGAGCTTATAAAACAAAGCAAACAATCTTGGAAGCAGAGGCAGGCACGAAAGGAATACGTTAACCCTCTCAAGTAATTTATAGATACTTTCTTCCTATTGGAGGCAGCCTTTTTACGGAAACTGTTTATAAATCAATTAGAAATTAGATGCACACCGGTTGTGCTGAGCAAGGAGTGATGTCCTACATCAGCAAACAAGAACAGATGTTTGTTTGAGTGATGAGAGCACATTGACATAATAACGGCGATTTAGAATTAGGAAAAAGCAAGACAGGCAGACTGAAAGAACAGAGGAAAAGAAAAGAAGTAGAACTTACCAGTGGCGCCCTTTAACCAGCAACAAGATTGGAATAAAAACCGAAAAATATACTGCGTAACAATAGAAAGAGATTGTGCACTTGTTGCTTCTATGTGAACAATACTTGAGGCTT